ATGCAACCCGCTTGCTGAAGTACAAATAATTGTAGGTATTATGCTCCCTTATTATTCGTTCTCATCAGTAATTGAAAGGTTGAAGGTAAAAAAGCTATTGAACGCATAAAGTGCCTCATTATTTAGGTTTTCGGTTCTCCTCGAATTTCCCTGAGTTTCCTGTTTCACGCGAACTACATACCCCCCCCCCCCCGCTCGTCGACATCGACATTATATAGTGCTAGTTAGTGCTATCAGAGAAGTGATGGCTTAAGGAGAAGTTTGCACACTGATCCTTCAATACTTGGCAGTATAGTGTAGGAGATGTAATGATAATGGCCCCTTATCCTTTCTTATCAATTGATAAGATTGTCTGTCACCCGTCATTAGTTTCCTATCACTAAAGCTCTATAATTTGGTAGTGTAAAGGCCCCAACACTTTGACTGAACAACAACGGCAACGTTCCTTATCAGCCCATATCAGCTGTTATCACCTCCTGTCACCCGTCATCGATGTTCTCATTTCCCACTCTACAGGGGGGGGGCCAAAAAAAAGTCACTTCGACCGAGTCACATATCAGCAAAGTTTTCGCAGCCCAGAGAGAAGATGTGGATACGAGTACCAGGGCGGAAGATACCCAAGATGTTCCTCGATAAGCAGGAGCTGGCCCTCGCCCATCACCTTCATGTCCAAAATATGAGGTCATCTCCAGTCGCAGCCTGACTGGAGAAGACCTTTGGAATTCATGTCACCTCCAAACAGCTGCGAAACTTCTAGTATGGAGTCACCCATGGATAGCTACCTGGAGACCAGTACTCTCGATCTGGATGACCTCCAACATCGAGCAGCTCGTCGCCACGGTCTAGGACATCATCTTCACCACAGTCGCCAAGGCGCGGGTTGATGGTATGGACCGGACGTACCTGGAATGGAAAGACCAATATTTTCTTCGTGGACCCCGGACTGAAGGTGAGCGCTGGCGGTTACATCGAGCAACTCGAGAAGAATATCCTCCTCACATGTCGTCGCCCGTACCTTCTTGGAAACTTTGTACTGCTACAGCATTGGGTGCCACCACATGGAATCGAAGGGCGTTGGAGAAACTCTCGCCTACTTGGAATGGAAGGGGGCTGAGTACCTAAAGAAGATGGAATATCCAAGTAGGTCACCTGACCTGAATCCCCTCAATTACCCGGTTCGGGCGGAGTAATAGGTGGTAGCGGAGAAATCGACTATCTCGCTGATCTCAGGCACCACATCGCGGTCGCGTGCCAGAATCTCTCGATGGCGCTCGTCCAGAAGGCTGTGGCGGAGTTTTATAATAGTATTTAATATGCTCTTTAATATGGTGGTAGAAATGTCCGATTAGAATTTATAAAGTGTAACTTATAGCGCCACGAAAGTCAATGAAGAAAAGTGACTTTTTTGGCTCCCCCTGTATATCATTTTCTGGAATCAACGCCTGGCTGGTGCTGTGTACCGCGCGCCATAAGTATGGTGACCTCCCCATTCTAACTCCCCTTGTCAAATCTTATCAGCTGCTAGCACTTTTTGTCACCCACCAATAATAATCGTATGCCATAGCCTACACCATACCTTGGAACTAACGTCCTACTCATGCTGTGACCCGCGCTATGGACTCGGTGCCCCTCCCCTTCTGACGCCTCTTATCAGATCTTATCAACTGATATCACTCCCTGCCACCCACCAATCACGTTCCTGTCCCATACCCTATATCGTACCTCGGAACTAACGTCCTGCTATTGCTGTCACCCGCGTTATGAATATGCTGACCTCCCCCTTCCCACTCCGTCTTTCCGACTTCGTCCTCTCATCGTATCTTATCAGCTGATATCACTTCCTGTCACCCACCAATAGTGTTCCCGTCACACCGCCTACATCACTTCTTGAAATCAATGTCTCACTGCTACTGGGACCGGCGCTATGAATTTCGTGACACACAGACAGACGCACACACAAACATACACACACACTGACAGACATACTTAGTGAATTATATAGAGTAGGATATTCTACTATATATAATCCGCCAAGTATGTGTGTCTGTCTGTCTGTCTGTCACGAAATTCATAGCGACCGTCCCAGCTGCTGTAGGAAGTTGATTCCATACAATGGTATAGGGGCTGTGACGGGAACATTATTGGTGGGTGACAGGGAGTGATATCAGCTGATAAGATCTGATAAGAGGCGTCAGAAGGGGAGGGTCACCGAGTCCATAGCGCGGGTCACAGCAACACTGGGACGTTTGTTCCAAGGTATGATATAGGCTATGGCACAGGAATATTATTGGTGGGTGACAAGAACTGCCAGCAGCTGATAAGATTTGATAAGGGGAGTTAGAATGGGAAGGTCACCATACTCATAAGCGGGACACAGCATCAGCTAGGCGTTGATTTCAGAAAATGATCTAGAGTGGCGGACGAGAACATACGGCGGGACAGCTACTAGGGGCTGATAAGGAATGTTGTCGTTGTGTTCAGTCGAAGTGCTAGAACCTTTACACTACGAAATTATAGTGGTTTTAGTGATTATAGGGTTTTAGTGAGTGAGTGATTCGAATATCGAATATTTATCTTCTTCTCAGTTTACTCGAATACGCGTCAGAGCGCGCCCAAGCAATTTTGCTTGGACCGCTCAGAGTGCTTTTAGGAGAAGTTGGCTTAATTTCCTGTTTTTTTCTTTTAATTGCAATTGATTCAGGTACCAGAGTTTGTTTTGACTCGAGGAAAGGTGGGTGAAACCTAATGGCCTTTCTTTTCTATTCTCTTTTCTGAATCAGGATAGAAATGAGCAAAAAGCGAGGGGGGCCTCGTTCAGGATTGTTACTTTTTCCATTTTTCGCGCTTACTTATACATAAACTTATGAAGTTTCTTCCTCCTCGGGGGGGGGGGAAGAAACTTCATAAGTTTATGTATAGGGGGGGGTCGTACCGAACCCCCAAAAAGGGGGGGTCGTACGGGCTCCACCAAAATCCCCAACTAATGCTGTGCCCTGGTCTCCGCATGTCTGCATTGCTTTGTCTCTGCATTTCTGCCGGTTCCTCAGTTCTGCACTTTCCGCGTTTCTGCATTGTTTAAATCGGTGCCTGACAGAAGCTTTTCGTCATTTCTGCCTTTACGTCATTTCTGCAGAACCGCATTTCTGCAAATTCCGCATTTCTGCTTTTTCAGGGTCGCAAGCCATGAGCGCGGCCTGAGACATCAGGGTAGTAAAGCGATGTAAAGAGCAGTGACAAAATCGCTCAGATATAGCTGAGTGGAAGCGTTTCATCCTTTTCTCCGACAACGTACCCTGGAGGGAAAATGCTGGCTGCATGGAAGAGGAATATCATCCCCATTAGTCCCATTGGTATTTCCACATTTATTCATACGTAGAAAAGCAATAGAGTAGGTAGTTCAACTACGGTAGCCTCACAATGCACTGGCATCAAATTGCTTATACAAGAAGCTGTATAAATGGATAGTGTCTACAATCTGATTAATAGCATAGAGCTTTTTTTCGTAGCGGTTGCTGCTGTTGCGATGCAGGTTCTGATGGACCTTGAAAGCATAGTTCAATTTTAATTTTCAGGCGCGCTTTCTGCGCTGTCAAAGAAGATGAGCATTAGGTTCACCGAATCCTCGCTGTTACGGAGCTCGCATCAATTAAGCTCTGAGCAGCGCGTCGTCGCCAATATCCCAGTAGCCGAGGTTTCAGCGGAAAAATTGAACTTTGGTCATTCATTAGGCCGTAAACTTTCCGGAAGGTAATGCCAAATGAATCATGGCCTGGTCGTTCCCGTGTGGGTCACAGCCATATGTCGCTCAACTCAGGCCCCTTATTTTTATTCATGCATGGAACACACTTGGCCATTTTCTCAATCCGCCAGTGGTCATCTTGCATAAGGCTAAACCCGGATATTCTGCGTCTCACAGGGGAAGGCCACCAACTCATGGCCATTTACGATGAGCTCTATACTCCTCTGCATCTCGGGACGCTGATATCAGATCTAACATCCAAATATGCTGCACGATTCCAGGTGAGAAGTTTATAACCTTTTTTGCTACTGTTCCCAACCATGCGTGCGCTCTCTACCCATACTTTGCGCTTGTGAACCCCTCGTGACACAGCCGCAGCCGTGCTTCGATGATGCAGCAGGTAGTTGAGTCGGCTAAGCGGTGGGGCGATGTTTCGAATCCTTGATGCATTTCATAGTGTTGCTTTTTCCCAAAACCTAGGCTAAATGGGGAAAGCAAGTTCACGCAAATTCGACAATCATGACCCCTCTCTGCTCCTTATTGAGCCCTGTGGATGACTTTTGTGGGAGGTTGCACTCTCACCTAACTCAGTTGAGCAGACCATATGCACGTTTATGTCAGCTTCAAGCATTTCAACTGAGATTTTTTCTGCTATTTTTCATGAATACACCATGTTTGAAGGACGCGAGACCTCGACAAATTCTCTTTGACACACATCAGCAGGTACACTCCTCATTCATTACGGACTGTCGGGGCGTATCGGCCAGAAGGAGTGCGCACACTGTTTGAAGCCGTTCTCAGCCTTTTTGAAGCGCGTATGCGACAAAAAGTGGTAGAAAACGAGTAATACGAAGGATATAATGCTGTTATGTCATTTGATCGCTTCAACAACTGGTGCAGAAAGACTTTGGAACCGCGGAAAACGCAGCCGCACTGACCCGCCCCGACAGTCCGTAATGATGAGGAGTATAGCTCTTGCGATTGTACCTCCGATAACTGGGAAAATGATGTGCCTGACACTATTCCTATCACATCGAGTGAAAATATCCTAAACTATCAGGTCGTTCAGTATGAAATGTCCGTTTTTCAGAAGTGCATAGTTCGAGAGTCCGTATCTAAGGCAAAACGCTCCGGCAGTCCTTGGTACTGAGTTTTGGTAAAGGTGCAGCCTCCCTCTTTCTTACCTTCGGTGGACCCTCCGCTGCGTCAGTGGAATCTGTACTTGTTTTACAAGGTTTTGTAACGACCATGGACAAGTCCAATGCGTGTTGTCTTGGAGTACGAGTTCCGCCGTGGAAGCACCGCAGCACAGGCAGTTCGGAATATCACCGTCGTCTTTGGAGAGGATGCCCCTAACGAACGAACAGTACGTCGATGGTTTGCAAAGTTTGAATCCGGCGACTTCGATCTTCAAAATGAGTCGAGAGGACGGCCCGAGTGCAAGCTGAACAACGATGAGCTTAAAGCCGTAGTGGAAGCTGATCCCACTCAAAGTACTCGAGAATTAGCGGCAAAGTTTGGAGTATGTAAGGTGAGCGAATTCTCGTCTCATTTGAAGCAAATTGGCAAGAGTAGGAAGCTGGATACGCGTTGGGTACCGCACGACTTGAGCGATCGTCAGAAGAGGGTCCGCCTTGAGGCTTGCCTTTCCTTACTTTCTAGGCAAAAAAGCGAGCCTTTCTTACACCGTCTCGTCACATGTGACGAGAAGTGATCGCATTTCGATAACTAGGAAGGCGGTCTAACGGGCAGTGTTGGAGCTAGTCGAGACCGCCAAAACCTACGCCGAGCGCGGACAGCCCTCACCAGAGGAAGACTATGGTATCAGTTTGGTGGTCCTCCGCAGGAGTGATTCACTACAGCTTTACGAGACCTGGTCAGGCGATCACGGCGGAGGCGTACTGTCAACAGCTGGAGGAAATGATGGAGAAGCTTGCTGTTATGCAGCCGAGAATGATTAACAGAGACCGACCGCTCCTACTGCAGGACAACGCTCGGCCACATGTGGCAAACTCGACCTTGTTAAAATTACAGGATTTGGACTTGGAAACTCTCGTTCATCCTCCTTACTCTCCCGACCTAGCACCTACAGATTACCATTTCTTTCAAGCTTTAGATCACTTCTTGCAGGGAAAATTATTCAATTCTTTTTATGATATTTTTTTAGGTGTTTTATTTTTTTTTATTTTTTTTATATTTATTTTTTTTTTATATATCTTATTATTCAATTCTTATGATGATGTAGAAAGTGCCTTTCATGATTTTATTGCCTCTCGCTCCCCAGATTTCTATAGAGATGGAATTAATAAGTTACCTTTAAAATGGCAAAGATGTGTTGATAACTTAGGATCATATTTTGATTGATTGTAATTTGCGTTGTATGAGATATGATAAACTGAAGTTGACTCTCAAAAACGGACATTTCATACTGAACGACCTAATATATATAATCCGCTAAGTGTGTCTGTTGGTGTGTGTGTGTGTGTGGTGTGTATGTATGGTGTGTTTGACCGGAAATTCATAACTTTCTTCAAAATAGCGATAAAGCGCTCAAATTCATAAGTGATGTAGGGGGTCGGGCAGGAACATTATTGGTGGGTGGCAGGAAGTGATAAGAGCTGATAAGATACCATACCGGGGCTTAGAAGGGGAGGGTCACCAACTCCATAGCGCAGCGAGGGCGTTGGTTTCAAGAGGTAAATAGGGTGGAGGAAGCGCGGCCACAGCAGCGATGGGGCGTTGGTTTCAAGAGGTAAGATAGGGTGCAGGATGGGAACATTATTGGTGGGTGACAGGCCATGATAACAGCTGATAAGATACCACAAGGGGGCTTAGAAGGGATTAGTGGCCTGAATCGTAAAGCCGGCCACAGTAACGACCGGGCGATAATTTCAAGGGTAAGATAGGGTGCAGGATGGGAACATTATTGGTGGGTGACAGGCCATGATAACAGGTGATAAGATGCCAGAAGGGGCTTAGAACGAGAGGGCCTCCAACTTCATAGCGCTGTTCAGAGCGGCGCTAGAGCATTGCTTCCAAGGAGAGATGTAGGGGGCAGGATAGGATCATTGTGATGGGTGGCAGGAAGTGATAACAGCTGATAAGAAAGCATAAGGGGCTTTAGATAAAGAGGGTCACCAACTTCATTGAGCGGGCCACAGCGACGGTAGAACGTTCAAAGTAGAAAGTAGAGAATAGAGGCGCAGGATGGGATAATTATGCGTGGGTGCCGGAAAGTCAATAACAGCTAGATGGCTTGATAAAATACGCATAGTTGAGAGGAAAACTTCAAACATTCATAACAGGAATTGTGTAAAACGGATCTGCCTTCTAGCAGTAACATCGGAATTGGTGTTTACGAGACAAGTTGTGTGAACTAGATTTTGTAGCCCAGAATCAATGGGCAAAGCCGTGGTGAGTTAAGATGTTTTTATTCTTCAGCGATGTAGTTGGAACGACCGCTAAATCCACGATTTCGACAAAAAGTAATAGCTCAAATTGTTTGCCATTGAGGAATTATATATGTATGCAGATATATGAAAGCTGCTCAGTGGAAGTACTAGGACGTAATTTCACTTGGATTCTGATATTGTTACCATCGAATCTCTTTCAACCGCTAGGCTGTCCTATTTCCAACAAATGGTGGGTGTTCTCAGATTTTGATAAGCAGCCGACACTGGCAAATGTTCATTAAAAAGAGAAATGCAATACAATCGGCCGTATTTCGAAACATGGGAATTAAGCCAAGTGTTAGTGGGCAACACAGTAATCCCGACAGTGACCAGTACCATGTTAACCATGCGCGCAGTAGTGCGCGACAGCCAAACTGGTTCTACGATAATGCGCGACCTCTCTCGCGAAAAGGGGAAAATGCAGAAGAAGCTTCTGGTGGTCTCTTTGCGCCACGCGCTCTTCGACAACCTCTTGATCGACTGGGAGGAAGATGGCTTTGTAAAAGTCGACCATACCGATCCCATCTGGTCACCTGATATTGAAAAGATGAAACTTCCTTCCAGACTGTAAGAGCAGCTTCGATCACTTCCGGGTATGTGGAGGTCCCGCTAGAGGAAGTGGTCAAAAAGTTCTCATTTGAAGGCTTTACTTTCGTACAAACCCGTAGCTTACTTTGCATGTGGTAGGTGAATGAAGCCATGGCGTTTTACCGATCAGGTACAGAAAAAGAGTTGCATTTCTTTGTGCTTGAAGAACAGGTTGCGGTCAACGCTACCAAATATCACTTGTGGATTCGAGAAGGGCACTCTTCACACTTTACTGCTCCAGTCATCTGGGATCGAGCCAATTTTTGACTGATTTTTCCCTCGGACTGACTTGGCTCAAAAGTTATACACTGGGGTAGTTTGGGGGTCATCTTGTGTGCTGGCTTAAAGGCAGCGTCCGCGATCAACCAAAGTGAAAAAACCCTCCATTGAAAACGAACGCGGAGTTCGCAACCACAGCGGATATCCCACTCTTGCGGCTCGAAATGTATTGATTGACGAGGGCGGAGTCAACAGAGCTGGCTGACGCCTCCTGTCCTGTTAATCCCGCCCCCCGACTGGTTAACAGTTGTCAATCCTTGCTGGCATTGATAATCGCTAAATTTCTAGCGTTTGTTTCGTACACTGATAGAGAGATTAACTCATAGACACATCGATTATCAATGCCAGCGTGGATTAGATGAGATAACCTAGGTAGTGGCCTCATGAGAATTAGCCGGAACGAGGCTGCGATGTATTTTGGAGAACTCACCCAAAATCTGCGAAACTCGTCCAGATGCCTTAAATTTATAGGGTCATGTTCTTGCACACCTTTTTCCTACTTTTTTTTGATTAATGCTTCATTTGGCCACCTGTTCTAACAAATCTGACCCCTGAAACCTGCCAAAGTCCATCGCGGGCACTGTCTAATGTTCAGCAATATATGCCTCAAATAAGGTTGCCACATCAACGCTATCAATTTCAATGCTTTCACTTGAATCGAAACAAAATTTCCTTCAATTTGCTCACACGGCTTAATAAGGAGCTGTGAGGGGCCATGATAGTCGAACCGGTACCTAAAACTATTTTCCAAATTTTTATCGTACGTTTCGAGTAAATGTAAAATAACGAAATGCATCAAGGACTCGAACCGTCGTCCCACCGCTATGAGCTCACCTACCTGCTGCGCCATCGAAGATGTGTCACGATGGGTTCACAAGCGCAGTATGGGCAGAGGGCGCACCGCAGCTGTTGAGCACAGAAGCAAAAAGGTCCATAACTTCTCTCCTTGAATCGTTCAGCAGATTAGGAAGTCAGATCTGATATCAGCTCCGCACTGACACATCATGAGGCACATGCGTGGGTTCAAAACGTATAAATGAACTTCATGAATTTTCATCTGATATCGGGCCCTATCAAACAGTACCTAATCACAGGTACACATCAACTTCAGCGCCTTCCATACATGCTGCATCTCGCACGCGACAAAAGATAGGACTTACAAAACCGCATTGCTTCTTCACTCCTTCTTCTTTCCAATATTCCCGAATTTTACGACCATAGTCAGTCGCATCTCCACTTCCGGACCATGACGTTTGTAGTGTTTCTCTCCATCCGGTCAGAATATTGAAAAATGGCTCAGAGTCTTCGTGACCCTTTGCATCTTTCCATACAGCCTCAACGAGCTCTGCAACCAGGATAAATTTGTGGTCGCTGTTGGACAGCATTTTTGATAAATTCGCCTCGTATGGAACGGTCTATTCATTTCATCTTCCCCCATTGATACCCGAGCTGGAGTGATCGTTATTTAGTCGTAAGGAGTGAACAGATGGGATCAAGAGATGTCCCTCATTCGACATCATTTGTTAGGTTATCGCTCCCCATAACCAGTAGTCCATGCCCCTCTCTAACGCGTTTCTTGGACTATTATCAGTTGTTATAAGTTCCCACCACCCGCCAATAGTGTGGCTATCACTCCCTTATCAGGACACGGCATCGTTGCGCGAAACACTTCCCTTATCAGAGCACAGCATCGTTGTGCGAAACCTATGAGGGGAGGTCGCAATTGGCCGCTGGGGAAAAGGGGTTGTAACCCCAGAGCCAATCAACACCGATCAACTCTATGTCGTTTCAGCTGATACTAGGATGGAGCCATGGAAGCTGTAACGTTGACAAAAAATATCACCCCCATATATATTGTAAGTTTGTAAGTTTGTTTGTCTGTCCGGAAATTCGGTTCGACCTGAAGAACGACTTGGAGAGGTCGGGTCAAGGTGGGGATGGGTAGGGCATGGGACAAGAAATAAAAAGCACACTTGACCTATGGGAAGCCCCGCCCACAGTGGGCGGGGCACTCGCTGAAATTTTGGGGTTCCGCAGAAAAATGTTCATAATTCGCTTCCGGAGCAGCCTATGGGGAAAAAGTTTAATAAGGTTAGCAAGGAGTTGCCAGACTACCTGTGGGAGACACCCCCAAAATGGGCGGGGCGTACTCAAGGTGGGCGGTGCTTCTCATAAAACTCAGTAACCCGGTTCGCGAGAGTGTTTAGAAGTC